TGTGTGTGTGTTGTGTGTGTGTTGTGTGTGTGTTGTGTGTGTTGTGTGTGTGTTGTGTGTGTGTTGTGTGTGTGTTGTGTGTGTGTTGTGTGTGTGTTGTGTGTGTGTTGTGTGTGTTGTGTGTGTTGTGTGTGTTGTGTGTGTTGTGTGTGTTGTGTGTGTTGTGTGTGTTGTGTGTGTTGTGTGTGTTGTGTGAGCCCTGCGCCTCAGAGTTGGGCGATGTCAAGGCTTGAGGGCTCAGCGCTTCGCTCGCAGGTCAGTGTTTGGGACGGGTAGGGCTTGGCGCCTCAGACCAGACGCGAGATTTGGCGCCCGAAAGTTCACGGCCTCAGAGTTGGGCGATGTCAGGGTTTGGCGCCTCAGAGTTTCACAGGCCAGCGCTTTGGAATGTCAGGGCTTCACGCCTCAGAGTTGGGCGATGTCAAGGCCTGGCACCTCAGAGTTCCGCGGGTCAGTATTTTGGAGTGTCAGGGTTCTGGCTGCGCCTCAGGGTTGGGCGGTGTCAGGGTTTGAGAGCTCAGCGCTTCGCAGGTCAGTGCTTGGGAAGGGTAGGGCTTGGCGCCTCAGACCAGACGCGAAAAGAAGTGTAGGGGTTTTGGTTGCGTGTCGGAGTTCGGCGCCCCAGAGTTGGCCGCCTCAGAGTTGGGCGATGTCAGGGCTCCGCTTGCCACCTCAGAGTCCCGCAGGTCGGGGCTTTATGATATTGGGGCTTCACGCCTCAAGGTTGAGCGATGTCACTCAGGGCTTGGCGCCTCAAAGTGGGGCAAGCCAGTGTTTTGGAGTACGGTTGAGGTCGCAGTTTGGCGCCTCAGAGTTCGCGGGGCGCCTCAGAGTTGCGCGAAGTCAAGGCTTGGCACCCCAGAGCTCCGCCGGTCAGGGTTCGTTTTGAAGTGTCAGGGCTTTGCGCCTCAGGGTTGGGCGATGTCAAGGCTTGGAGCCTCAGAGCCTCGCAGGCCAGTGCGTCGAAGTGTCAGGGCTTCGCGCCTCAGAGTTGGGCGATGTCAAGGTTTGGCGCGCGCCTCAGAGCTCCGCGGGCCAGTGTTTTGGGATGTCAAGGCTTGGCGGCTCAAGGTTGAGCGATGTCAGGGCTTGGCGCCTCAGAGTTTCGCGGGTCAGAGTTTTGGAATGTCAGAGCTTCACGCCTCAGGGTTGGGCGATGTCAGGGCTTGAAGCCTCAGAGGCTCGCAGGTCAGTGCGCTGGAATGTCAGGGCTTCGCGCCTCAGAGTTGGGCGACATCAGGGCTCGGCGCCTCAGAGTCCCGCGGGCCAGTGTAGTTTTAGGATGTCAAAGCTTGGCGGCTCAGGCAGGGACGAGCGACGTCAGGGCTTGGCGCCTCAGAGTTTCGCAGGTCAGAGTTTTGGACTGTCAGGGCTTCGCGCCTCAGAGTTGGGCTATGTCAGGGCCTGGCACCTCAGAGTTCCGCGAGTCAGTGTTTTGGGATGTCAAGGCTTGGCGGCTCAGGGTTAGGCGATGGCAGGGCTTGGCGCCTCAGAGTTTCGCAGGTCAGAGTTTTTGAATGTTTGCCAGGGCTTCGCGCCTCAGAGTTGGGCGATGTCAGGGCTTGGCGCCTCAGAGTTCCACGGGTCAGGGTAGGTTTTGGAATGTCAAGGCTTGGCGGCTCAGCCTCCGGCCTGCTGGTCTCGGTGTGGAAGGCCGCGGGCGCGGGCGTCTGCGAAGAGGCACGCGAGCCACGGGCAGCGGTAGGCGCCTCCGCGGCGTGAACGCGGAGGCCTCAAACGGGTGGGGGGCTCAGTGGGTGACAGGTTGGCCGTCGCCGCGCCGCTCATTACGCCGTCTACCCTCTGCCGCTCCTAGCAGCTCTCTCATGTCTCGGACCGCTGAACACACGGGACACGACTAGTTACTACTTTTAGCATCACACCGCGCAAGCAGATTACATCCAAGAACTCCAGGTAGAGCAGAGCACCGCATTCATTTTTCGAGACAAGCACCACGCCACTAATACCTTACAGCTACTTCTTCCAAGAACAACAGAGGAACGACAGGGGAACCTTTTCCAGTCGCCGACGCCGAGTAAAATATAGACACTAACTATCCACAGGCAAAATATCGGTCTATAGCTATATATATATATATATATATATATACGTAGCTCAGGCACGAGCACACACGCACCGGGGTCAGACCCAAATAGGGGACCAGTGTCATGGGTGGTAAATATTATCCCCAAGGTTTAAGGCCTCTGGTTATGTCTTTCTTATTACTTTGATATCAGTCACGGCCCTCTTCATCTTGTAGGATGCGACACGCGCCCTGAGTTTCTGTTGGAACATCAAGGGACGCGAGAGCTTGCGCTTAGCACGTGGACGCGACATCTTAAATACTATCTACAAGCTATTTACCAACCTACGGCTATATAAGTAGTCTAAGCTAGTTTCGGTTTTTTTGCGTATCTCTACTTATTTCAGTCTTTATGAGCCACAAAACGGAGGAACCAGCAGATTCATTAGTTTTTACTTCAGCAGGCTCCTTTGACAAACGTTCTAGATTAACAAGTTTTTTAGAAGTTTCCAAGAAGTAAAGCAAGCAGAGTGACAGAGGGACTTTAGACAATGAGCAGTGTCAAATCATAAATTTTCTAGCGATTAATTATAATTCGTGAAAGTTCAAAATTGTCTAACTACTAGATGAGAAATCTTCGCAAATGTGCGTCGAGTAGAAAATGCGAAGACTGCAAATGTGAGCAATAGCTCACTCCGCATCAAGATCAACAAGAACGATACTATTAATTTCGGTTTCATTTTCGTCGTATGAATGTGTAGCCGTGCTGCGGACGAAAAAAATGGCGCAGCTTGTCTTTGTTATTATTGCGGAAACAATTGCCGTATCACTCAGGTCCCTATTACATCAACATCATACTTTTTCTCTACTACGAACAAGCAAACAGTCAGTGCGTCACAATGTAAGGACCGCCTGAGCCAAAACTTCGCAATTCAATTGAATTGATGAGCTTTTTTTTGTATCGCGAGCGAGTTCCGGGGGGGACCTGCCTGCATATTTTCAGCGTAGCTACCGGCGTAGGGGGGAGTTCTTAATCCCCTTAACAAACTACGCTACTGCCCCTACGATTTAAAACGCAGAACCCTAGGAGCAACAGCAGGAGTAATTACATACCTAATACCTGCCACCCGGGGCGTTGCCCGTCTCCCTATTACGCGCTTTTTGTGAATGTTTATGAAGTAGCGAACACAGTGGCACCCTTGACACGCAACCGCTCCTATATCACGGAAACAGCGTGGCTGTCTTTGTTTTATGCAATAGCCCAAATGGCCGGTCACTGATATCAGTATGAGAATCGTGACTGTGGTTTTTGCTCCGTGTTGTTGTTGTCTTCTTGTGTGGTCATGGTAGTTGCTTAGTTTAGTAAGTTAGTCAGCCTAGTAGTGTGATCATGATCCTAATGGTGCTAGTGGTTTGGTCGTTGTGTTGTTCGTTGTTGATGCTCATGATCCTAATGGTGATTATGATCTTGATCATTATCCTAGTGGTGACCATCATCTTCATCACTATCCTCCTGGTGATCTAGTTACTTTCTTCTTACGTTTGTACTCGGGATCTGGGCACTGACATCCCAGCAACCCAAGAAAAAAAGGAAAAAAAAAATTGAATCTACATGCGGCTTACGTACGGTAGACGAGACGCGCCTTTTAATCCGAATGCAAACTGGTGCTAGCTCTTTTCTTTTAAAATAGTTTTGCTCTACGTTCTTTTTGTAACTTTCTTTACTTAAACCTTCTCTACCTTCGTTTACTTTTACTCTCTTCCACTTTTCCTTTCTTTTGCTTTCGCCTTCTTTACTTTCTTCACCCCGTGCGCCTTAGCGTTCTCCTGAGCTCGACAAAAGGTCAACGCCAGCTCTTTTCTCCTCGTTATTTCTTGTCTTCTGGTGCTTGGCCTTGGGTGGTTCATCCTCAGAAGAATCAGAGGAGGAACTTGCAGACGACTCACTGGAGCTGCTGTCTTCGTTGTCGTCTCCAGGTTGTACCTGTATCGCCTTCTTCTTGTTCGGTACAGGTGTCGCCGTCTTGCTGCGGCGGTGCCGGCGTTTTGGTGTCGTGCCCACCTGGCGTAGCTGTGCTTGGGTTTGGCGGCCTCCTGGTCCCATGAATGCAAGACGCCGCAGACACTCCCTGTCTTCAGGTAGCTGAATGTTGGGAATGAGTGCCCTGTAGTGCGCAGCACTGGTTTCCAACACTTCCTCCCAGCGGGTGCGTACTTCACTGGTCCGGTGTAAGACTCACCCCAACGCTAAAGCTCGGACGTATCGCGGGCACTCCACTTCATTTCGCACGCCAGTCATTTGCAAACCGCTTTCGAAAGCTCGCTGAAGTACTCGCCCAGGCACAGCGTAGAGTCTACCACGGGTCGCCATCTTGATAGCTACTAGAAAAGGAATTGTATATTTATAGTATACGAAGCTAGAAAATATATAAAATTACGGCTGGGCCGTTTTCTTTGCATGGTGATGCCGCGTTTTCCCGGGGGGGGCCAAAAAAAATTTGCCTCTTGCAAAATCAAAAGACAAAACAGATGACATAAGTTAAGAACAACGCTTTGCGAGAGATTAAGACCCAAAAACCTACGGCATTTCTTCAGGGATAACGCACTCTCTGCCATCAAAAGCGCAACTTTTTGAACAAAAAGAGAGGCGCCTTCTCTGCAAGATAAGGCCCACACTCTCGCGATACAGAGGACAGCCGCTGAGTGCTTACTAAGAGCCGCAGACTGTGAGAAAAAAAGGCCAAGGGGCCTCCTCCATTTCTTCAGAAAGGCCGCAGCCCTTGACATCGAAAGACGGCAGCTTTGCACCATCAGCAAAGAGCGCAACTCTTGACATCGAAAGAAGACAGCTCTGCACAATCAGCAAAAAACGCAACTCTTGACACCGAAAAAAGACAACTTATACTCAACCCAATGAATCAACAAAAGGCGCAGCTTTTGACATCAAGCAAACAAACCCACACAACCAACAGAGGCGCCCGGCTGTTCCCTCATCAGCAGAGCCAGCTTTTCCCAATGAATCAACACAACAAAGACAAAGAAGGCACAGACCGGCAAGAGGCTGCTCCCGGGGGTCAACGAAGAGCGCGCGGCGAGAGAGTGAATGGACCTCGCTGGACACAAGGGAGCACAAGTCCCACCCCCTCTCTCTCTCACTGGCTCAGGCACTCCCACGCCCGCGAGTGCTCTCTCTCTGCCCTCCCTCGCGCTCTCAGAGAGGCAAGCAATCGCTGCTGGGTTTTCGCGTGCCACTCATAAGCCAAACAACCAGCCACCAAGCCTGTCGGCCCGACACCACCGAGGGAGCATCAAGATGGGCAAACTAAAATCGCACGCAATTTCCTAAGCGCATAATAAGGCACACCTGCGCAATAAGAAGAGAGAGGCCTACTCCTTCACGTTTTTTGGAATGAAATGGCAACAAGCTGCAACAAAGTAGCGCAATGGCTTACTTTTACTACTCACGGAATTACATAAAGAGACCGACCGAAAACAACAGGAGAGGGGCCTGCGCTATTCGAGGCAGGTGCACGCAGTGCGGGCTCCTCACTATCTAACTACGCACCCGCGCACACCTCAAAAAGCACAACCTTCCAAAAGTTGCGCTCTTTGCGGTGTACGTACAGTGAGGACTACCCACTGAGCACTTTGCAAAAGTTGCGCTTTTTGAGATGTACGCAGTGAGGACTCTCCACGAAGTACTCACTATGTACACACTAAGCACACTGAAGAACGCTGTCTGTTTGCAAAAAAGTGGCGCTTTTTTTCAAAAGTGTCCTTTGCGTACACCTCAAAAAAGGTAAGGCGGACCTCAAAAAGTGCGAGTTTTCATATCGAAGAGTCGCACTCTTTGGCGTGTACCTAGTGAGGGCTCTCCACTAGGTGCCCACTACGTACACACTACGTACACACTACGTACACACTACGTACACACTACGTACTCACTACGTACACACCACGTACACAAAAATGCTGCTTTTTTTGAAAAAAGTGCTGCTTTTTTGTAAAAAATGCTGCTTTTTTGAAAAAGCAGCACTTTTGACAAAAAAGCAGCACTTTTCTCCAAAAAAACTGCATTTTTGTGTACGTAGTGCGTACGTAGTGTGTACGCAGTGAGGAGTCCTCAACGCGTACACCTCAAAAAACGCAAGGCAAGCCTCAAAAAGTGCGACTTTTGAAATTCGAAAAGTCGCACTTTTTGCGGTGTACGTAGTGAGGACTCTTCGCAAAGTACTCACTTCGTACACACCAAGCACAAACTACGCACACAAAAAAGCTGCCTCTTTCCGAAAAAGTGGCGCCTTTCTTTCGTCAAAGATGCTGCTTTTTTGAAAAGCATTCAACACTTTGGACAAAAAGCAACACCGTTGATTTTCTTGGAAAAGCGCAGCACTTTTGAGCACGTAGCGCGTACTTTCTTAGTGCGTACGTAGTGAAGAGCCCGCCCTCACTAGTGCGCACACCTCAAAAAAGGTAGGGCGGAGCTCAAAAAGTGCGCCTTTTGAAATTCGAAAAGCCACACTCTTTGGGGTCCGCCCTAACTTTTTTCCAATTTTGAGCCAACCATCCGAAACGCTGCGCGGCCCCCCTCCTATTTTAGAGCTTGATAAGAGAAATAGCCCATGGCATTCATCACCTTAAGAAAAGAGTGGACAGACCTTGGCAAGCTCGTAAGCCAGCGGGGAAAAAATAATGGGAGAAACAGCGAAAGAGTGCACACCTATGAAGCTCCCCAAACAATAACAAAAAAGACCCACACAACCCGAAGGCACTCCAATCATTCAACCCGTTAGGCATGCCACGGACTCCAGCGAAGAACCCCCTCGAGACCATCTCTCACTCACGGCCCCAGTCGATAAGCCTGCCCACACGCCGAAGAATGAAAGAGCCAGCCACGCATCACGTTCGTACCTGCGGCACGCTGGCGCTGGTAGAAAGATCGATCGACAGAGGCAAGAAAGAGCGACCGACGGGCGACGGCGAGCACCATCCACCAACGACAACACCGCGCGAAGGTAACCAGGCAAGCACACAAGGCAACGCCGACCCATCGAGCTAACCTGTGGAAGGATACATAGACGCAAGAAAATAAGCAAGCACGAGGGAAGACGCACGGAAGAAGCCACGCAAACAGTCTAACCACCAAGGACAGAAACAAAATGAATTGGGTAACTAGATAAGAGCTAGGGCGGTCACCAATGAGAGAAACATCAACCAACGAAGGAACACGCGCGCACTCACTCAGCCAGAAGGTAGAAGGTGCAAAGTCGCGCGCCCTTGTGCGAAGACGTCCCCCAAAATGTTAGCTCCCACACCTTGCTACGCCAGGCGCCTGCTTGCTTGCTAGTTAGCTACGTAGAGCCCCCAAGGACTTTGTCCCCTGCTCATTTCTTTCAAGAACACCCAATACCCACGCCAAAAGCCCCAAGCCCAAAAGGCGCCAAATCTTGCAAAGTGGCCAAGTCTTCGAGAGCGTCGCTCTTTCTCAAAAAAAGAGATATAGCGCCTCTTTCCTTAAATTTCCCCAGCGCCAAGGCGTGGGGCCTTCGTTCCGGTCTTTTTTACTCGTTGAGCGTTTTACTTAACAGAGCGGGCCTCTTTCTTCTTAAAGCCTACACTTCCAAAGCGTGGGGCTTTTGGGTCTTAATCTCTCAGGAAGCGTTGTTCTTAACATAAGACGGGTTGTCTCTGATCGTGTCATTTGTTTCAAAGGTCAAAAATGTCCAAAAAATCAAAACAATGAGGACGATTCAGATGACAGGAAATTGTCTCTGTGCCGTCCTCTCCCTTCTAGAACAATGCCTTACGTCCCTTCGTGGTCACGCCTAAGCGCGGTCTTCGATGCGCCGCAGCTGTAATACTTGCGGTCGCAACTTTCCTGGCTTCAAGACGTCTAGAAGCTGCTGTAGCGATCTAGCTGCCCTCTTTCGCGGTTTCGTCATCGCGTCCGCCGGATTCAATACGCCTGGAAAACGGTACTTACGTGCCTCCAGAGTACTGATCTGCTCCTGTAGCTTCTTGATCATCAGAAGAAGCACTAGCTCTGTGATCTGTGGACTAACAGACGAAGTTGACCACAGAAGCGCGCCACAGTCTGAGATCACATGGCAACGA